CAAAGGCAAACAATCAGAAAAGGATATTTTATTTTTTTGTTGATTCCTGAGGTGCAGGATAGGCAAGACTCTGCCAAATTTTCCAACAATCCATTTCTGAAAGAAAAACAATCAGTGTTAAAAAAAGGAGTAGAAGTAACTCTGAAATAAAACAAATATTTATTCTTGAATAAGAAAAACACTAATAAAGAACCACATGTGATTAATTCTTTTTTCTTTATTCTCTATAGTGAACCCTACCATGCAACTTGACCAGCCTTCTCAAAAACAAAACAAAACAAAACCAACCAAAAAAAAAAAATTTCTACAACCTACAAATAAAGAGACATAATAAAGAACTAAATTTCTTTACAAATGCTGTTTTCAGCACCGTGTTTCTGGTTTATGAATTAACAAGGGTACCTACAAAGACAGGATCACTATTATTTTGCTCTTTTCCCCCTTCTCACAAAAAAAAAAAAATTAAATCCCTCCAAAACCACTCTGTGCTTAGCAAACAGTTTTGAAAACTGTGTAGTAAACATCAATTTTGTTGCCTAAATTTGCATGGGCAGACCCTGATCCTGTGCTGAAGCCCAACCCAGCCACCAAAAGCTGTGTGGTGCATGGAAATAATTCCCTTTAGAAGCTTTTAAGGGTGACACAAGCATATTCCCAGTATCAGTGAGGAACAGGGCAGTGGACAGTATGACCATGATCATTTCCACTCATTGCAAAGAATGACAGGAGCCCTCTCCTGTCCACACACGAGCTATTTCCTCAGAGTACTTTCCACAGCTTGGACTGACACACTCTTAATCATGAAGTTTCTTTACATAAATCATAAATTTGGCATGAATTTAGATGCAATAAGTTTGGTTTTTGCTGTATTATTTCTCTTGTACATCTACCCCACCATACCTTGTGGTCTGGCACCTCTGTACCTGGTACTGCTCTCATGTGGAAGTCCACAACTCCCTTTTGTTTCAGTGATTCCAACAGGCACATTTGGTCATTTCTCTGTGGTTTTTCTTTCTGCAGCTTTGCTTCCTCCCTCTCTGTGGCCAGCCTGTACCAGAAAGCACATCACCCATGGAAAAGGTGCAGGATTGGAGGTGGCAGTGATCCCCTCCCACAGCACAGCAATTCCCCCCCTCAGGGGATGAACCCCATCACCTCTGAGGGAACAGGGATGCAAAACCTGTTCCAGCATCAAAGGTAAAGCAACAGCCCAGAGAATCTATCAAAACTGAAACAGTAAGAGTGTACAAAATGAAACTACAGCCACAACATTATCAGATAAGCAGAAAAAAGGCAGTTTTAGCAACAACATAAAATATTGGTTTCTACCTGTGCAAAAAGCTTTCTTTGGCCAACTCAATTTGCAGGGTCCCCCCTTTCCATTTTGTTTTATTTAAAACTGACATGCCTGCAAAACAAAGGTGGGAAATGAATATTTTCTACATCAAAAAAAAGCACTCACAGAGTTCACTGGGCTTCCTTGTATGACAGCCTGAGGCTCCCTCAGCATCACCTTGTACCTGACCCTGCACGGTCAGGGCTGCATCTGAAAGGGCCAAAATCCAAATAAACCAGGAGGTGTACAGCCAAAGCTGAAGTTCTCCCTTCAGAAGTGCCCAATGCAGCATTCCCCAGAGCCAGGGCACACTGCAGAAGGAGCTTTACATCAGCTCTCCTTTGGGTGTCCTCTCACAGAAATCAATTCCAGTGTTTCATAGATCTGATGAAAGCTCATGAGGCACGAAAGGCTTAGAACAAACAAAGAGGGTGCCCAGAGCAGCTGTCCCTGGATCCCTGGCAGTGTCCCAGGCCAGGCTGGACAGGGCTTGGAGCCCCCTGGGACAGTGGAAGGAGTCCCTGTCATGGACTCATCCATCATGAGATGATCATTAAGGTCCCTTCCATGCAGACCATTCTCTGAGGCTCTGAAACTCACAAATCACCTCCTTGAGCCACAAGGGATCTTTTCCATCTGCTCACAGCAATTTCTGAAAACTTCAGCAAAGCAGCTTCCACAAAGCTGCAGCTTAAAGAAACTAAAATCAACCTGACAGGAAAATGAAAGAGGCTCTACCATGACCACAGCTGGATGTGACAACGTGAGATGAGCTATCAGCAATGTAACTTGGCTCAAAAACATAGCTGAAAAAAAACCACACAAAAAAGTACTTACACTTTTTCAGATCTGCATCAGAAATGTTGACACTGATGTAAGCAAAAGTTTTCGTAGGATTCCCTGATCAATGACAAACATTAAGTTAGTTTGATGTAGTTTCATAATTTCCTTTAAAACTGAAATGTCTCTAAATCAAAAATTCCATTTCATGCTCCAAACAGAAAAGCAAATAACTTTTAAAAAGTGAAAGAAAACCATTACCCTGATCATCTTTCCTGGTAATAATCTCTGCCTCCAAAACACGCCCAAATTTGCCAAATCTTTCTTCCAGCTCAGCCTTGGAAACCGTGTGGCCGAGCCCTCCAACATAGAGACGTTTGGAAACCTGCTCCTTCTCCATGCTGCCAAAGCACGGTGTCACACCGGAACACACCCTCTGTTCCTCTGCGGGGAGACAAAACACTTCAGCGACACGCAAATTAACGCGATTAGAACAGCGAATCGGGGACAAATCAGTGCATTAAAAACCACGAAGAACCTTAGGGGTAGAGCACTCCTTGAGTTGCTGTGGGTAAGACAGCAAACCCCGCGCTGCTGCAGGAAACCGGAGCTCACGGTTTTTTAAACCATATAACTGAATGCTACAACTGAGCCATATAAATGTATGCACATACAGCATAAGAGCCGATGCACATACAGCACAGAGAATAAGCGCAAACCGCTCTTCACAATATAACCCAAGGGTTCCTTAGGGTGGGAACACAGCCCACAGTCCAGCCCTCCCCTCCCGGGAGATGCCGAGGGACCCCCGCCCTGAGCGACCCCCCGGCCTGAGGGACCCCCCCGCCCTGAGGGACCCGGGTCCCGGCTGTGTCCCCGGTCCCGTCTGTGTGCCCGGCCCGGCCTCACCGCCGCCATGTGCGAACCTCGCAGCGACACCGCTTTACCTTCCCCCCCGCAACTTTTCCCAGCCCTCACTCGAAAAAAAGGGTTCCGCCTCCTGGTGCCGCTGGATTCTGATCGGGCGCTCGCCTCCGCTGGGTTCCTGTTTCCGGCCGGTCAGGTGTGCTGGGAGCACGGGGGCTGGGTCCTGTGGCAGCGGACGCTTTGAAAGTGACAGACCAGGAAGAAGAGCGGGAGAGTTTTCCGGGTCACGCGAGCAGAAATTGATGGGAACAAGGGAACAGCAGACAAAGCAAGGTTTTTTTACTTTTATTTATGATAGAGAGCTCGGGAATTATCCGCCAGCGCCTCCGCTGTTCGACAGGGAGGGGAAGGAAGGCGCGGCCGGCGCCACCCGCTGGGGCAGCAGCTGTGGTAGCGCCCGGGCTCGCGAGTTGGCGCGCGGTTCGAAAAGTGCGGGGCGCGCGCGCCGGGACTGAGCGCTCCATTCCCCTCAGAGCCCTCAGCGCCCGCTCCCATCGCTCACTGCCCTCCCCTCAGCGCCGGCTCCCACCGCTCACTGCCCTGCCCTCAGAGCCGGCTCCCTCCGCTCCTCTCTCAGGGCCGGCTGCCGGGGCTCCCCGGGCTCCGCACTGCCCTGCTCGGACACCCGTTCCGCCCCCGGGGCGCCTCTGTCACCCCCGAGCCTCGGCGCGGGTCAGCCCCGGCTCCTTGGGCGAGTCGCGATTTCAGCATCGCCCTGCGAGGGTCCGAAGCTCCGCAGGGAAGCAGCGGGCACGGAACGCGCCGGTTCGGTTCTCACAAACGCTCCAAAGCGCTTCCCAGCTCCTCCTGGGGCAGCATAAAGTCAAATACTCGGAGTGTAAACGGGCAGGTACGTAAAAATGTGAAAGATGTGATATTAATGCACAGATACTTATAAATATACACGTGTGATATATAAGAGGAAAACTGTTTGTAAAAGTTCTGTTTTACTTGATTCAAGTGTAGGTATTTTTTTTTCTAGATATAAAATCTTTGAAGTCATAATTAGTGTTTGAGTCTTCTGCTGCCTAGTGAAATCCTTGAGTTTAAGTAGCTCTAAGTAGTTTATGTCACCTGTTACTGTTGTTAAAAGAGGCATCAGCTGTCCTGGGGTAACATTCTGGCTGTGGTAATGTTTTCCTTTTTCACACCGTACTCTTTATTGTGACCATGACTTTCTTCACCATATCCAGTTCAAAAAAATCTGGTGAGCACTGGATGATTATTTAATTGCATATGCTTCCTTCACTCACATAAAAAAACAAGTTTCTAAAGTAAAGCATGCTTTCAATGTTGTTTTCTTATGTGTGTTATAAAGGCACTGCTTCCTAGAAAATAAACAAATAAAATGTAATTTCCCCCTCATCCCCTTTGACTGAACAATGTTAGTGTGGAACTTGCACCCCACATAGAGCAGGGGTGGTTTAAAAACACACAAAACTAAAAGTTGGGTTTTTCCTGGTCAAGGTATTGGCACATTAATTCTGAGCTGCATATATCTTCTGCACACTTCTGAATGTGTTGTAGCTAGGCTGAATGTCAGATTATTATTTTTCCTGAAAACTGAGGTTTATTTTTTAGATTATTGGTGAAACATGTTTGCAGTGAGTGTCTCTGTACTGCTGCTTACTCTGTGTTAGGAGCAGCTGTGCCTGGTCTGCCCAGGTGAGTCGTTAGGGCAATTGGCCAAAGCTGGGTTCTGATTGCAATTGGTTTTTACCTGTGGAGCCATTTGTTGTTCTATTACAGCAAATGTAAAACAGCTGAGTGCACTCCTGGATCAAATCATGACTAATTAAACAGGTTCTTAAAGCCTTTGACTCCATCAGATCCCTGATTTAGCTTCTGTCTCTGCAGTGCTCTGTATCTTCAAGCAGTTGCCTACTGTTATGTTTGTGATTTTGGAAAATTGATTGTTCCTGAGAAAAATCCTTATTTTATGCAGTGATTCTGAGAAATGGACGAGGCTGTTTTTGAAGATTATGAAAAGGAAATCCAGGCACTGGAAGAAGAAATTAGGCTGCTGACAGAAAAGTACGAAGATATGCGACAAGAATCCGCCTTCTTTTCTGAGGAGGAGATACTGAAGGCAATGTATGCTTTTTTTTTTTTCATTTATTAGATTAACAGAATTTCTTTGTCAAAATTGTTTGGGATGTTAGGACTTTTTAAATGTAAACTCCATGGATAAAATAAGTCACTTATATGAGTACAGGCATCTTAGCTCCCTTTTCTTGGATGTTTTTGCACATATCTCTAAGTGGGCATTTGCACCTGCAGACTTGGAGTAAAAGCTGTGTCTACCTGGCAGTGAATGGAAAGCGTTTATGTAAGTAAGACTAGGTTTATTGTTTCCAGCAATGTGATCCAACTGAAACTTGACTGCTTGGAGACTGATTTGGGTCTGAAAACCATCAGATCCCATTACTAATGCCTTTTATTTAATAATATTGCTGTACCCACATGTTAGGTCTGGATATTTTTCCCTTTTGATTTTATTTTTTTTTCCATTCCAGAAAATCACTCCAAGAAGAAACTGAGGGAGAAACCAAGGGACATGAATCTCCATCAGACCTGAAAGCTCAGCTTGAAAGTCTAGAAACAGATCTTGCATTTTTAATGGAATTTACTGGGTTTCATTTCACAAGTCATTCCAAGAAAACAGTGGAAAAGAGTAAGCAGTGTTGTGCCCTTTACTGAGCATACTGGTTGCAGTTCATCTGCAGACCCCTCTTCTAATTCACTGTTAGCAGAAGACAATTACTTTGAAATACAGTAAGATTTGGTTCATTGACAGAATAGTTTCTGAGTCAATATTGTCCTTTCCTTCATGGGAAAGGGACAGACTACTATTGTGCTTTGCACAGGGGGAAAGTGGAGTTTGTTGGTGGTGTTTTTGAGCACATTAAACTTCTTTACATGAGGAGTGGTAACAGTGGGTACTTTAAATATAACTAAGGGAAGAAATGCAGTAGTTATTGAATAGAAGTGTAATTGATTGTTTTGCTAACTTGGTTTTATAACAGCTCAAAACAAGACAGTGCAGAAGCACAGATTATCAGGGAAGTGTCACTCCATACCTTTTCAAGTGAAATTCCAGCTTCTTGAAATGCAGGTAAGGGTCAATGTAAGCTTTAAAAAAAAAAAACAACTACCAAACAAAACTTCAAATGGACCAGTATCACTGCTTCCTTTTCCAGCTGAAACCTTCAATTGTTTAATCTGAGTTTCAGTGTGTTCTTTTGGCTCTTTAACATCTGGAGCCAACTTAGGAATTCTGTGTGCATCTGAGCAAGGTAGTTGATGGTAGATAGAAGGTCAGGTTTAGTGTTGAGCCACAAAGTGGTTGCCATAGAATTATTTAGGTTGGAAAAAAACCTTCAAGATCAAGCCCAACTGTTTACCCAGTACTGCCAGGTCTTCATCCTGCTCCCTGCAGGATGCTCTTGCAGCCTGACACTGAGGTGAAGCCCTGGGAGCACTTGGTGTCCTTCAGCTCTGCCAGGTGCCCACTGGGGCCTGACCCAGCACAGCTTTCATCCCTCACAGCACATTCTATTGTCACATACCTTATTCTGGAAGTTGGAAGATGCCACATGTTACCTCTCTGGAAGGAATAGCAAAAGCTAAACCGCTACAAACTTCAGCAGCTCTCTTTGTTGATTTGGGTTTGGTTTTTTTTTTCTTTTGATTATTTGTGTGTGCTTGGTTAATGTGAGTAATCATTGCAGCACTGCCACAAGTTACACCAATGATTGCAGATTTTCTGGGAGGGAGCTCTTTCATAAGACGCTATTCTTAGCACAGAATTCAAGATGCTAAGCAAAGGAAAACAGCTTCCACCCTAATTTGCAATAGCATTTTTCTAACACTTGTACTTTGTAATGGTACTTCTAACATCATGAAAACTTGATTTTTCAGCTCAGCTTTAAAGTTGTTAGGTTTTTGGTTTTTTTAATTTGATGAGATAGGACTGAGAGTGAACAGTAAAGATGTCTTTCCTATTCCATATTATGAATTTGGGAATTGAATATTTAGGTAGCCCCACATGGATTTTTATCCTTTGAAACTGCAAGAGTTCAGCTGAATGAGCAACCGCTGAATTCCATTTGTGACTTAAAACTTGTGATCTTCATGATGCCTCTTTACATTTGCTTGTCTAAAACTGCATTTAGAATGTTTCTCAGCTGCATCTCCTGCAGCATGATGGCATCTTTGGGGTTCAGAGGGGTTACTGGGTGTTAAATTCACTGCTGATGGTGTTGGTGCTTAAAGCCGTTGCACCACTGAGCGGCAGCACTTGGCTGCCTAATGTCTCAAATTTGGGCTACTTTGAATGCTGATGGGATAGGGAGTACCAGGTGTGTACATACTTAAAAACCCTCACTTCAGCTGTAAAAGTCTAATTTTGAGCTGATTTTTGCATGATTTTTTTTTTGCTTGCTGGAAGTACATCATACATACAAAATAACCTGTCCTGACATTAGCATGGACCAGGTAGTGCAGTTATAATCAGTTTGACCTGTCCTGAGGAACAAAAGCTGTTCTTGGGAAGTGCCCAGCAGGTAACAGGTCTGTTGGTATGCACAGAAGGTCAGGAATAATTTTTTCACACTGTTAACTGTAGCTATTTATTCTGGTAGTGAAGTCACAATAGAGTTAACTCAGCTTCATGATATTATTAGGAGAGGAGATGAGCTTGAAAATCGGCCAAAACAAGTCTGAGCCTTTTGGGAAAGCAATCATTTAAAAAGAGTTTCTTTCTTGCCCAAAGATTCCTTTTAAATCTTTTTATTTGGCCCTACAAAGGCATTTTGGCATGTCAGTAACCCCTCTATTGGCACAACAGTCCTAAGGTGGCATGTTAGCTTGTGACTCCTGGCAGCTTCTCCACAGCTCCATCCCCCTGCTGAACCTTGTGCTCTAAACCTGAAATGATTTTTCCTGATGTCATTTAGTACATCCACCAGTCTCTGTAGTGCCTGGCTGTGCTTTTTCCATCTTTAGTGATGGCAATGTCAGCAGGGCTTCTGTCCAGGCAGCACAGGGGCTGCTGAGATGGGTGTGCAGCCCCCTCTTGCCATTCCCATCTTGTAGTGACTTGGTAAAAGAAGTTTAAAGTGAGGCATTTCTATGCTCTTCAGACCATGATTTTAAGCTTTTTCATTCACTGTTATCGTATCCATTGCTATGGTGTGCTCAAGAATGCATAGAAAAGAGAATTAACTTCTTTTGTGGCTTCCTTTCTACTCTGACCACCTTTTTTCATTCTTTTACAGCTTATTAATTAATTTAGAATAATTTTATTATCCCACACATATTTCTGAGTAACAGCAATTGTAAAAAAGGACAATATTTTGACACAAAACCATAAGGTTTAAAATTAAAAAACCAGCACAAAATGAACAGATAAAACCCTACATGTTAATTTTCCGGTATATGTGGCAGCCCAAGGTTGTGTTGGAACATGAGAAGAATCTTAAGAAGTGGGATTGATGTGAAAAGAAGTAATGAACCTTCCTTAATAACTCAGGTGTTATTCCAAAAGCCTTGTATGGATAATAGTGCTACTCTTGAAATGAAAGAAACTGTTCACACACACAAACTGTAGTTTCAAAAATGCTATTTTAAGGATTATAGTAGTTAGCATTAATATCTACTTTTTTCTATATTTTTAGATGCAAATATACACAGTTTTCTCCTCACTTGAGCAATTTCTAAAATATTTTGTTGTTACTTCTCCAATCTAGAAGGATGAGAAAGTGTCTGCTGTTGTTAGTGATCTCAGCATCAAGATGGAATCCAGAGAAGATTCAAATGTGAGCAAGTTTGTGTCACGGTAAGATGGAATTTTTTGTTCAAGGGTAGGTATTGTGTGGGATATGGGACAGTAAATGCAGTACTGACTTTTCATGTGAATTGCTGGCAGCCAGTGTCTTTATGTGATGTGTCCTTAGCCCAGCCTAAACACTTCCATCCCTTTCTGTATCCTGGAGAGAGGATGGCAGGCGTGTGATTTTTAAGATCTGGAAGGACCTTTACAAATTCGTGTTATGCAATTGTTCCTCAGATTCTGTGTGAGCTGCTCTGTGGGTAATGCCTGAAATGCACATCCAGAACCCCTCTCCAGTGTTTGCCTGTTTCTGATTCTCAGCTCTCAGTTCTATTTCTCTTATTGGCAACAGGATTTATTTCACTGATATCTTTAAAAAATGTGATTTAAAAACATGCACTAGTGTATTTGTGCAATAGCTTAAGAAAATTAACATACTAAAACTTAAATGTATGAATGAATGCTGTTTCTTATTATTTTCTGGAGTATGCCAGCTTCTTGTGGTAACATGAGGAGTAAATGATCAAATTATTTGTCTGCAGCATTCCACTGAATTGTGCCAGCAAGCTGTTCTGAGAACAAATCCATTATCACTGAGTCATTGATTTAATTCTTTTTTTTCAGTTGCTTCTTTTGTTTTCTATTATTTTTTGATCTTGGGGAGGGAGAAGGGCCAACAGGGGTCTGTTGAGTTACCTCAGGCTTCAGTAGTCTCTACTGAAAACTGTTTTATTTAAAGGCTTTGAGATTTCCATGTAAATCTGCTAAAGCTTGTGGTGAAACTGGGAAGAACAGTTGACTGCTCTCAAGAAGTGGGATTTAGAAGAGGAAATTGCCCTGTTTTATTCATGGGTATTTTATGACAGCAGAAGTGTATTGGAACTTCATAGTCACACTGGAAAGGAATGTGTTGAAGTAGTGGCAGAGTTTATTTCATCCTGGCTGGAGCCCTGCTCTCTTTCCCCGTCTCTTCTCCTGTTCACCTTGTGCCAGTACTCACAAATAAGCACAAGTTTTCATGAATGATAGGAGATGTCAGCAAAGCAGGCAGTGCTGTCTCCTGAGTGCCACCTTGGCCTTGTGCCTGTGGATACCCCTGCAGCCAATAGGATCAATGGGGTCAGCAGGTTGAAAAATCCTTCTGGGGGTAGGGAACAACCCAAACTTGTTCCCCCATAACACCTTCAAATGTCACATTTCCTGTGTGCCCTGTGCTGTGCAGTGTGAGGCACTGAGCCCATGGCTGATGCTGGCAGGACCTGTTTGAGATCATCCCCTGCTCCACTGAGTCTGTGCTCTCCCTTCAGGCCCTGTTCTCTCAATCCCCTTGTTGGGCTACTCCTCATTGCTTTTTCCAAGTTGTAATCCCCTCATGTCCAGTTTCAGACTTTTCCCAACTAGCTCTTTGTTTTTTAGTCTGCTCCTGAAATTCCTATCTCTTCCTTTCTTTTCCCTCCATTCCTGACCAGCTGAGTCTGGTCTCCTGTTATTTTGTTCATTTCCAGCCTCCCTACCAGTTTGTTTTCTTCTCTTGCTTCCTTGGCCCAGTCTTGCCAAATCCATTGTCTAGTTCTGTTCTGTTTTGTCTCCTGGCTGGAATTTTTTTCTTCCCTAGTTTTAAAATTTTTTTTGGCTATGTTTTTTTTTTTTCATAATACATGCCAGAAAATGGTCTTTAAGAACAGCAGAGTTAAAAACCTGACATTCAGTTCCTGCTATGGAAGAAAACAAGAATGATAGAGCACTTGAACAATATGTTTTTAAATGAAGCAAAATTCAGCAGTCTGCAGGTACTACTGTAATAAATAAATGGTACATCTCTATACAAGAATTGTACATTTTTTAAAAGTGGGTATATTTTAATATAGTTTCTTAATTAGTTTGTGACGATAACAGATGTATGCAAATGAAATCCCAATATTTATTTGTCTTTTTTTGGATTTCACATGTCCCCTTTGGTTATCACTTCATTAGTGTTGAGAACCACAACATCTAAAGAAACTCTGTCAGTCCTTTTTCAGACTTGACACCCCATTAATTGTTGGGGGAGTTACCTTTGCATGGGTTGCTTAGGCACATAGAGATTTTAAGCAGTATGAAAATTGCTCTTTCTTTTTACTAACTAGTTAGAATCTGTAAGTCAGAGTGCAGGATTTAGAAAACGTGCATTATATTAAAGGCTGCATGGGCAAAGTCCCTTGCAAATGAAGGGAAGCAGGAATTCTCCCCCCAGCTTTGAGCTATGCTTTGGTTTTCTATGCTAATGTATGAAGTCTTGCATCCTGCAGTGAGTTAAAATTTATTTTCTCCCTTAAAATACATAAAGGAACACATTAAAGGAGGGTTAGCTACTCTTACAACAGGTAAATTTCCTATGTACTTCTGTGTTTTGTTGATATTTTGTGAAAGTGTGTTTGGATGGACAGCCCATGATTTTAAGCTGACAGAATTAGTCTCTGCCTGACTATCCTTTTCAGTGGTTTTGGATGACTTCTCTGTAGCATGGATGTTGGCATTGGAGACAGGTGTTTCCTGCTCCAAGTGGATTTTTGTAATGCTGAATTCCTTCAAAATAAAAAAAGACTTGAATTTTTACCATCCACGCTCTTACTATCTTGTTATTTTATACCATGTTTCCTTGGTATTTCAACATCTGGTGTAGCTGACTTCAGGAGGAGGAATTAGGCTAATTTGGGCTAATTAGGAATTAGTGCTTATGGGCAGATTCAATGCTGTGAGAGTTCACTCAACTGGTGAACTCTTACTCCTTTGCCAATATGCATTCACATAGAGCTGTTCTTGCCAACAGATTCCCCTTTCTAAACACTGAATTCAGCTTTTTATTTTGAATTTAGACAGTGCTATGTGAGAAAAGTGCATCCTCAGATATATTGGTTGACTAACTTCTGCATTGGAAACTGATTCTTTGAACTTCTGCCCAAAGCTTTTTCTTTCTGTTGATGACCCAGCCTTGAAAATTATCTGCTGCCTCACCTAAAAATGATTTTGAGGCAAAAAAAAAATAAACTAATAACCATGCTAAACCAAGGCCACAGTGTTTGTGATAGCATTTTAAATAGCCTAAAGGTGGATTTTATAAACACTGCCAAGTTCTTCAAAAATAATTCCAAGTGTGTAGTTTGGTACCAAAGCTTTGTGTTCCGTTTTCCATGAGTGGAGATTAAGGAAGCCCAGAGCAGTTTGTGTGGGATCTGTTCTCCAGGCACGGATGTGGGCAGTGGCTACCAAGGCCCACAGTTCCTATAGAATGTACATTTCAAGGTCTACTCAATTCAGAGCTGTGGTTCAAACCAGCTCCCAGAGCAGGGCTAATGAGCTATTGTGAAGCAGTGTCTGTGTCCTTCCAGGGACTCACTTCTCCCACTGCTGCCAGCATTTTTTTCATCTTGGCCTGATTTTGTTGGCAGCTGTGACCGCTCTGGTAACTTCCTTTAATGATGCTGTTCTTTCCAGGCTGGGATAAAACTTGTTTGGCTTTTCTTTCACATTTTCAATATCTGAATGACCTTAATGTATTTTTCCCAGTTTCTTTGTGTAACTGGTTAAGGTTTGCTGTTCTGTATATTAAATAGAGCAGGATTGAAAACACAGCTCTCCCTGGGAAGGCTGAACTGACTGGGTAATCCACTGTTGCAGCCATTCTGTGAATGCCTCAAGTCTGAAAATCCAAAAAAGAATAGCTAATCTCGGGATGTTAGAAGTCAAATTTACATTAGAATTTAAATACTCTAACTTCCTGAAATATTCTCAAACATCAGTCAGGTATCTTCCTCAGTCAGGTTTTGTAAACTTGTAAAATCCTATATTAGTAACCAAAATAAATATTTGTACTTCCAAAACAGTGTTTGCCAGGTGTGTTTTGATGATGGCTAATAGTCTGTGGCTCATATCAACAGTGACATGAAGCCTTTCACCCTTATGTTTAAATAATTGTGTCACTTCAGCTTTCCTATGTGGTTTTTGTGGAGTTCTGCATCCTTTGCATTCTGGCTGCATTTGTGCAGTGAAAACTGCACACCCATTATGGGTTTTTTTCCCCAACAACCCTGCATGTGTGGTTTGCTGCCTGACAGTTTGTCACCTTCTATTGTCTCTTTTCCTTTCTCTTTCCTGATTCATACTAGAAATTTGAAAAATAAACATTTATATCTATCTTTCCCTCCCACTCTCCCCCCAGCATAAGAAGGAACATGGACATGTTAGAGCAGATCCAGAGGAGAGTGAGGAAGGTGTTCAGAGGTGGGAGCCCCTCTGCTCTGGAGACAAGATCACATCAAGCTTTAACTGTCTGACAAAAGTTTTGGTTTAGATGCCCTGTGTCCTCAGGCCTCCCTTCCTGGTGAAGCTGCAAGGGAAGTCTTGGAAAGCTGAATTAATCTTGGTTAATCTTGAAAAGCAGAGGCAGGTAACATGTCATGTAGAGTTAGTTGGCTAGGACAAAGATTTTGGCAATATTTGAAGGTTATTGAAGGTTATTGTTACAATTTGGGAAATGTTACCATTTTGCAGGTTTGGGTTTTACTCGGCAACATCTTAGAGTTTATTTAGAAAACAAGTTGAACTAGAATAAAATCAAGCTAAGATTTTGCAGGTGGCTACTTTGTTCCCACATTTTACTGGTAAGACAAACACTAGAAACATTGGCTTAGGAATGTGTTCTTCAACCTCTTTTTCAATTACAACACTACAGCTTTTTTTCAGCTTTGTAATTGTTATTTTGGGTGATTTCTACTTTATATTCAAACAATAGTAATGAATTTTTTTTAAGTGTGAATTTTACACTGATGGTAATCTGATTATCATATTAGTGTAAAATGATATGATAATCAGATTATCATATACATATGATTATGAGTGGGTTAAACAATATATTTTTGTTTTATAGCACTCAAGAATGTGGAGATCTTATAACATTTTTCAGAAGCCTTTCAACCTATGCTGAGTGGTATGAGCATCGTAGACACACCTTCCTGCATTTCAAGGTAGTGCCTATCCACCCTTTATTTATTAGTACAGTATTTATTGTTTTAAGAAGTTTAGTAAGACAGAGCATTGGAAGTGGAACTGGCTTAGCAGAATGTAGGATCTTAATTTTGTATGTGGTGATGAAGAGAATATGAGCTAAAAATTTGCTGTGTTCAAGGGGCAATTGAACAGCAATTGCTGTGTTCCTCATGGGTGGAGAAAAATAAGACTCTGCCTTTCTGTGAAGGAGTAAGACAGTTTGCTTTGGTATTATATTTTATTTTGATTTTTAAAAAAATTAAAAGAAAATAACACTTGCAGTCTTTGGCATATAAACGTTGGTTTTGAAGGATTAGATCTGTTTCTCTTGAAGATGTGTCAGTGTGTGTTTGGATGACAGCACTTTCAGTTCTGGAGTGTTTTACTTGTGTGGGAAATAAACTGTTCCTCCCTCCTAACTGGAACATAGTATTTGAGCTTAGTTTTAAATTACCAGTATTTGCCTTGTTTGTTTTGGCTTTGTGCTGGTTTTAAGATAAACAGCTAATCCTTGGAGTAAAAATACTGCAGTCTTACAGACACAAAACATCTTACATGATGCTTTATGTAGGAGATGGATGTTTAGCTGCTTAATTGTTTGTGGTTTCTTGGCTGAGTTTTACATACCTCAAGAATTTACTGTCATTAAACTTGACACCATCTTTACTTTTCAGCTGTAGTATCATGTGGGAACTGCATCTTCAGCCTTTTAGGCCTTTGAGTTCTGTGCTGAATGAATCAATTTCTATTATCTAATCAATCAGGAAATTAGTTCTATTTTCTGATAGCACTAAAAAAAAATCCAGTCCTCAGCTGAGCAATGAACTGGCATTGCCTAATCCTGCTGGCTTTAGTCTAAGGGCTTTTCTCTAATCCCTCCACAGAAAAGGTAGAGCACCAAGAGCTTTAGGGCTCTGCAATTGTTTTTTCCAGCTTCCCTTGATGCTTTCTGATCCTTAGATCAGCAGTCACCGTGGTTTCTGGGACAGTGATTTGGTTGTTGTAAATATTTCTCATTTTAAAATATAATAACAAGGAAAAAAATAGGAAAGAGTTTTGGAGAAATTTCAAATTGTCGTTAGATAAGCAGTTTTTGCAAATTGTTTGTTCAAATGTTGAGTATAAACAATGAATTACCTACTAATTGCTAGAAGATGTGTGAAAATAATTCATTGAAGACATTGCAAGTTTGTCAGTATTACAGATGTTCTTTCTAAAGGTAGTTTTATTTCCATGGTCAAAGACAAAGGTAAAGTCGAAAGACAAGCCAATTTGGGAGAGTATTTACCAAATATGACTGACTGTGTTCTTATGAAGAGTATTTTAGACCTTCTTTTTTTTGTTAGCATTGCTAATAATTTAATGTTGAAACAGAAGACTTTCTCAGGTAAGAGAATTAATAAAAGGTTCAAATCTGGCAATTCAAATAACTGGATTGCCAAGGAGAATGTATATTTGTAGTTTAATGTTTTAGTAATCTGTGGGAAAGCAATTAGACACATGTTGTTAATATATGTATAATACCAACTCTAGACTCTATGCTGTTAATATTCACACTTACACAAAATTAAAAATGAGTCTGTAATCTTTGTATTTATTTTTTCCCCTACCTGCTCTATAGACTCTCCTGTTCTGGAGTGAAAACTGTTGGAGGGGAGTCTTGGGTTTATAGCTTTTCTATTAATGTGAGTTTTTTTTTAAAGAAAAGCGCCAAGGCTTTTATGTAGAAATAAAATAGTTTCTGATACTTTCCTCAGAGTGCAGTGTAAAAACACCAAAGGTAGTTTCTATTTGCTTTCCTGTTTTGGTACCTGAGAAGAAAGGGATAATGTACAAGTGGGTGAGTACTTCAAGTAATATTGAATGTTTTGAGATTTGTGGCAATTCAAGGTCAGCTCAAAACAGGTTTTGAAGGAGCAAGTGGGGTGTTCACCAAGTATTCTGTATGGCAGGTTTTGCTATTGTCACAATAAATACGTCTGTTAAATGGATTTACCTCTGCAAATAACCTCCTAACCTTAGTCTGCTGTGAGGCTGAACAACTGAGACATGTTGACAAGGCTGGAAGAGCAGATTGTGGAAGCTGATACTGATAAACAAGAACAAAATTTCAAGTTTTATTGGAATTTCAGAACAGAAATGAGTGATAGGAAAAAAATAAAATGGTTTACATTCAGCTTGATATTAGTACAGGTCACAGAAATAGGAGGTGGAAATCCTCCCTGCTGAAGCCTTTCTCACTTCATGTTTTGATTAACTTGCTGTGAATGGGGAAAATAAAGTAAAACACATCAGAGAACTTGGTGCCTGCATGAGACATTCAGGAGGTTCCACTTGTCTACTTTGGCTTACTCACAAAGTGTTTAGAGCATTAATCAGTGTTACTGATGATAATTAGTATGTTTCAAAAATATATACAACATTTTAATGTGATACTAATTGTGTGGTAGTAGGGAGGTCTTGGAATGTTTACATGTGTGTATATATTACAAAAACATGCATTTGTTTGTGTATACACATTTTTGGTGATATTTACTGGTATTTATTTATTTTGGTGATTTACTGAGAAGAGTTTTAGTAGCAGTGATTTGTGATGAGAATAAGATCAGGAGCTGCTGCTTATGTAACATTATTACACTTACAGCTGTGTTTTTTCCATCTTAGGCACTTATCACAAGAGATGGGAGAGAATTGATGGGTTTATTTTTTTCCAAATAGAAATTTGGCTTGACATTGGAATGTATTTTTATATGCTTTGAAGTTGTTTTTCATGTTTTGATAAAGACCTGGGAACATCAAAGTTTTATGATTTATGTGGAAAAATGAAAACCAAGTATTGCTGCCGGACTTGGTTTTGTTCTCAATTAAGACAATGGAATTTCCTTCTTGTTACACTAAATAACTTAAAATGGAAAATATTGGAGGTTGCTGTTTTTCTTGGGAAACGGGTTCAGGGCAAAAATATCTGTTCAGAATTAAGTGCCATCAATTCCCCATAGCACAAGCACTAACGAATTAAGGCTTAGCTAAATAAGGTAAATAAAACTAACACAAAACATTTTGTAAAATCAATATTTTAGATGTAGTGATACATCATCATGCATTTGATGCTTAACTATTTCTACTAATTAGGAATCTATACTAGCTTCAAAATTAGTACAAAGTGGATGTGGTAATAATAACTAGCACACCTTTGGCATTCATTTGTCTGGAGGCTTTACACCTGTGGTAGGTATTGGAAGGGAGAAAATGGGTGTCAGAAATGTACAGTTGAGGAATTAAAAACATTGTACCCTTTATCAGTGATGGCCAGTTCCAGATGAACTGAGTGTCAAGGCCTGCACAAGTCAATTTGTGTTTTTAATACACTGCATAGGTTCAAGGCATTGAGTGAAATGGTTGAAGTTACCTCTGATTTCAGATTAATGATGGAATCAACTTTTCTTTGTAGCTTCCAAGTCTGATTTGATTTTTCCCTAATGATCAGAAGTATTGTTGCAGAAGGGTAAATCTTTCTTTGCTCTGACATCTAGATGAAATCATACTTATTTACAGGTAAACACATGAATTCAGCTTTTCTTTTAACTATATTGTCACATTTCCTGTCGGGAGGAGCTGTGGAACCAGGGCTTGGTTGACATCATTAGTTAATAACAAAGGTATTTGAGTCTGTTATTCTGTATGTAGACTGTTCTTTTAAAATAGAAGCTGATGTTGCAAAAACAGCTCTTGTGAGAACAGCTCAGCAAAACATATATATTTCACTTAAAAATACATTGTGTAAAAATAAAACACATGTTATTTTCAAAGCAGAATAGTAGAAGGAAATCTAAAACATCTTTGCAAAGTTCTAGTTGCTATGTTGCTTGGTGTACTAAACCTAAATAGGAGTTATTCTCATTTACCACAAATCAAGTTTTTAAAAAATGTTAATGAATTTAAGCTTTGAGAAATTCTGTTTCTAAACATGACTTTCTCTCATCTGCATCTTCATCCAATACACTTTTGAAGGTCAGCTGAAAAGATCTCACTGCAGATTAAAAGAGTGGGATTAGAATTCAGAAGTATTTTTCCTCTTTGGTTTGCTCAAAGAAAATCTTGCATTTATCTGAAAGTAAAGCGTGGTGGTTGTTCTGAGTGCTGGTAAAGAATGAGAATAAGCAGTTTTGTGTGATTTTATCTAAAGAGTATGTGGTGAAATAAAAGTTGAGATAATGTGTGTGCATATATATATATTTTTACACTTTCATTAACAGAAAAGATTCTGAAAGGATGAGGGACACCATAAGTACTAAAGTAACTGAAATGGTTATTTCAGAGGAGAACGGTGCAACATAGCAGGAGGTCCTGGGTAAGCAGGGAAAAGAGCATTAGTAAGGGAGAGGATATGAGCTTGTAAACAGAGGAAGAAGTGATCCTTGTTAGATGGCTGGCTGGCACAGCAGGGTTAGTAGTAGGTGCCCACGGGCAGCATCCTCAGGCAGGAGAAGGCGTTGACGTGCTTGGCCAGCACGATGGGGTTGCCCTCCATCCTGATCTCGTCCATGCGCGTGCGGATGTAGCGCGTGTTGTTGGACTTGCAGAACGTGTCATCCGTGATGCTCGTGATGTTGTTGTACTGCAAACCAAAACATTCTCATAAAAAAATCTATACAGGCAGTGTTGATAAAAAATTAGAGGGTTTTTTTGCCATTTCCTATCCCTGATGTACAGAAACCAATAATAAATCCTTGCATGGCAATTGGCATCTTCTGCGTTTCTAGATGGCCATGGCCATACACATTGGTAAATGGTTTTATTGAGGTGCAGTGAAAAACTGTAGTGAGAGCTGTTTTAAAATAGAATAAGTTTGATTGAAGTGTGTAACTCCTGGGGTGTTTCCTAAGAGAATGTTAAGGAAATGCTTTGGGAATACCTGAAGGTGAAGAATGCGCAGACTCTCCGGTAAGTTCAGGGGCACAGATTCCAGTGCGTTGTGTCCTAAGTAGAGGTAGGCCAAATTTGTGAGCTTCTGTTAAACAGAAAGAGAGGTTACTGATGCTGCTACTACCTGAGGTTAAGTAACTCATGCCTGTTACAAGAAATCAGTCATTTTTTCTGATCACATAACCTGTAAAGTGATGTAACAAAAGCCATTCTTTTGCTGTGAATGTTGAATTTCATTATATCAAGAAATTCATAGGACAGACCTTCTATGTTTGGGGAAATTTCAGTGTCAGCATGTTGGTTATAAAAGTTGAGACCACTGTAAAGTACTATATATATATTGTTTTTTAGTATATCTGTAGTATTCAGAACTCTAATTGAGCCATCAATTTTTGGATATTTTTTCTGTACATATTAGAGAGAAACCACGCAGGTGAGATATTTCATAGAAAATTCTTTTCTGCATAGAGGACATGAGAGAGTGAGTGCACAAATGACTGATATTCCAGAGTGCCTTAAAAACAAAGCAAAGGCTGAAAAGCTGCTTCATCGTAGTTTGTTTCTTAGAATACAAAAAATACAGGAAAATAATTTGGTGGCAGACTGAATAGTCTGGTTAATAATTGTGGTCACTTTGATTACCTAGATTATTGGGTTTTTCCTTACCTTGAAAGCATTTGCTTTGATTCCTCTGCTCTTGATTCTGTTTTGGTTTGCATTAAGCGATGTTAGTTTGGGAGGTAGAACAGGAAGTTTTACAAGTCGATTTTCAGCAAGAGAAAGTTCTTCCAACAGCAGAAGCTTTGAAAAGGCTCCATCTTCTATTTCTTCTATCCTATTTCCACTAAAATCAATTCTTCTCAAGGTAGCTTTCAGAAAAGAAATTAAAATCTAAGTATTGACTTTATAATTACATGGCATATGAAACATGTATGGCTGTATGTGCTAAATGTTATACGATTGGCTGCAGCATCTGAATTGTGATCTGCAAATGTGAATACTATTAAAAGTGACATCTGGATTTTTTTTCCTGGTCTTAAATTGAAAAAATTAAGAAGGGAAATACTCTGGGTCCTTCTTTTTGTCTTAGAGATAACATGATTTCAGCTATTCATTGAATTTCTCATGCTGTGGAGTGAGATAGCTGGCAGAGCTCTCCCTGGAGCATTTGAAGGAAAAATAACACCTGCTCATTTAAGACTGTCTGGGATACAGAGCTGAATTTTACTTTTAGCAATCTGCTCTTTACCTGATGTTTGGGATTATTAAGATGTTTACAGGATCCAAAATGCGTGTTCATTGTGCCTTTCCATTTTGTATTCTAAAGCAGAGACAGAAAGTGGGGTGTCACTCACTGATGTCAGCGAAGTCTGAGGCTGCAATCCTTTTGATCTTGTTGAAGCGGGCGTAGAGATACGCGGTTTCCTTGGGCAGAGGGGGCACGGCCTCGATGTCGATCTCCTCGCAGTACACGGAGCCGCTCAGGCACACGCACAGCAAACACGTGGGCAGGTCTGCCAGCAGGGCACAGCACACTTACAGCATGCTCAACTCACTTCAGCCTGCTTACTCAAAATATGCTTTTTTTCTAGTGTCTTTTAAGATTTCCTGTTGTTAGGTTTTCAAAAAATTCTATTTGCATCAAGTTCTGAGAAGATTTATCTTCTCAACTGTTTGGGGTTTTTTGTTCTTTTCATTGTGTATGATTTCTCTGTGTATAATCTCTGTTCTTACCTGAGCATGTGACATGCTATTAATCGACCTGAATTCAGTTTAAATCTTTAGATGGCTGAGAGCATGGTGAACGTGACAATTGCAAGTTTGACCATGTTAAATATCACATTTGGAACCAAACCCACAAGGAGAAACACCTGGCAGTGCATTGGAGCATTTCTGGCAGGCCACACAATAGCCTGTGTTATTCCTAGCTACTATTCTGTCTAAACCTTTTGATAAAAACTCCAGCAATTATGTTTATATATCACATATGGTTTAGGTTGGAAGGGACATTAAAGATCATGTCATTCCAACCCACAGACAGGGACACTTCCACTAGACCAGGTTGCTCAGAGCCCTGTGCACAATCTCTATCAGTTTTATACTGAGGTTTTTACAGATGTTTTAAGTTGAGAGAGAAACTTTTTGTAATGTAGTTTGAGACCTTTCAGGCTTTTGCTAGTCCTCATGGACAGTAGTAAAGTATCAGTAACTTCTGCTTTGCTCTAGTCTTTTCTGCCAGCAATGTTCAAATACATGTAATGAATGTGGCTTTGAATCCTGTTTCATCTCCACTGCTGTCTTGTGCTGTGTTTTCTATATTTTGAGAGTTTTGGTTGGCTTCCACCCTGGAGTGAGTGCAGTGCAGACATCAGGGTCATTCCATGGGATAGTTGTCACCACACAGCAAAACAGGACCTTCTGCGAGCAGTGAGGAGTTACAAAAGCAGCAGGTCAATACTGGGAAGCCAGTACATAAGAGTAATTCTTTTTCTTACAGCAGCACTGCAGAGAACAGAATGAAGATTTTGAGGTTTAGCTTGTGAATATCATCATTTTTAGGCTGCAGAGTTCTGCCCTGTTTGGTGATTTTTATTTAGTGTCTTGTTTTCATGTTTGTGTAGGAAATGGAAAATGTCAAACAACGTTGTCACTGTTAAAAAGGCAATACTTTTTATGCTTGTCTGTCTAGAAGCTCTGATGTTCTTGGAGGCTTGCTCAGTTTTGATGGGGCCTTGCTGACAGGTGCTGTTTGGCAGTAATTAACCTTGAATTAACACTTTGGTAGACACTGACAGTCCACTGGTCTTGCTGAATCATCACTTATTTTTGGAAGTTTATATCGTAGACACACAAAATAAGTGTCTCTTTTTCTGTCTGCTCTGTTTGGCAGAAAAACTTTGTCCTTTTTGTGTGCAGAGAGCAGTGGGGTTTGTTAGGAGAAATCTGGACAATGTACCCAGAGCCTGTAGGAAGCTTTGACAAGTGAAGAACGTTCCTAATGTATTTTAAACATTGACCTCCCTGATCATCAGATGTAAACTTTGAGAATAGCCAATTGTTCAAATAAATCTGTTGAAATAATTTAAGCAAATAGTATTTCATCATCACTTGGGTTAAACTGTGGAACTTACTGGGGGATGTATTTTGTTTTTCTTTGTTGTCTTGTCTAACTTTTTTAACTTGGGTGCATCTCAATGGCAAATATGACTGGGCAAGTCTGTGAAGATGTTTACAAGCTGTGCTTTGTGTATTCAGAGTTTACCTGAGGATCCTTTAAATTTTTCAGCCTGCTCCATCAGAAGTTACAAGGTTTTCCACGGGAGATATGAAAGATATTCATAAACAAAAATATTAATTCTGTAGCCTTGGTTATCCTTTGCACTTTAGATTTGTATGTTAAAACATCTTCTTTTGGATATCTTAGACATCACAATATTCATATCAGTTAACTTACTTGTGTCCTTTGTTGGTGGGACATCGAGTTGGCTGTCATCACTTTGTAGCATTAGGGAGGTGTCAAGAGAAACATTTGTTCCAGCCTTTGTGAAAGAACAATTGATGTTTTAAAACACAAACCACAGACAAAAAGCCACAGAACATTACAAGGATTTGAAATAACATCTTTTAAAGCGAGCTTCCTACAATATACCTACTTATCATACTTACTTTTTAAAATGCTTTTATGGGTTGGATGACTAAGGTGATGTTACTTTTACACACAAACTACTCACTTTAAAAGGCAAGAAGGGAAGGTGCTGCCAGTGCTCTTTAGAAAACTCAAGTTCTTTAGGAAAGAACAGTAAACACAAAATAGAAATAGAAAATATAGTCTATATGGTAGGAAGGAATATCTAAGTGGTGGATGTTTACAAACAGAGTTTTGAAGATCGAGATTTTGCATGTAATGCAAAACTCAATAGGATTCTTGTGAGTCTAAGTTGTATTTTGTTGTTATTTTACCCAAATAATCTCAGTAAAATGACTGAGATGTCCTTGCTTTTCAAGTTATTCACAATTCCTCCTGGAGCTAGTCGTCGCATCTTTTCAGTTGCAGGACAACTTAGTTTATAAACACATTCCTTGCAGGTATTGGCTGAAATTGAGTAATTTGTTTCCATTATCTGCATGTTAGTCTGTTTTAAGGTGTGGGCTGCTCACAGAAAGGGCCTCTTCACACAGAATCACTGGGTTGGAAGAGACCTTCAAGATGGAGTCACCCAGGGATGGTGACTCCACCATCTCCCTGGGCAGGCCATTCCAGAACTTTATCATCCTTTCTGTAAAAAACTTTTTCCTAATGTCCAACCTGAATTTCCCTTGGCACAGCTTGAGGCTGTGTGCTCTGATTCTGTCAGTGCTGCCTGGAGAAAGAGCCCAACTCCACCTGAGCACAGGCACCTTTCAGGAGCTGCGGAGAGTGATGAGGTCACCCCTGAATCTCCTTTTCTCCAGGCTGAGCACCCCCAGCTCCCTCAGTGGTTCCTCACAGGGTTTGTGTTCCCAGCCCCTCTCCAGCCTCGTTGTCCCCTCTGGATGTGCTCAGTGTCCCAAGGTCCTTCCCAAACGGAGGGGCCGGAGCTGGGCACAGCACTCAGGGTGTGCCCTCAGCAGTGCCCAGGGCAGGGGCAGAACGACCTCCCTGCTCCTGCTGGCCTCACCATTCCTGATCCAGGCCAGGAGCCATTGGCCTCCTTGGCCACCAGGGCACTCTGCTGCCTCATGTTCAGTCACTGCTGACCAGCACCCCCAGGTCCCTTTGTGTCTGGGCACTGTCCAGCCACACCATCCTCAGCCTATAATACTGCAGGAGGTTTTGTGGCCTCTTGTGATGTAGGGAACAGCAGTCAGGTTTTTATTAGGTATTGGAGCAATTTTAGAGAAATACCTATTATTACTGTATTTACAGTATAGATACAGTGCCTTATACTGTCATTTGCCTGCAGTAACGTTAAGGGGATTTCAGTTTGACTGTGGTGGTTGTTTTTGGCTTGCATAATTTGTTTGTTGGTTTGGGTTTTTTTTTTAATGGGGAATATTTGTAGGACAGAACAAACCAATATGTTTTTTGGTGTGTGTGGCTATTGGAAACACATGCAGGAAAGAGCATTGTGAGATGTGGAAGATGTTTTGCTTTAAACATGCTTAAGGATCAGGCCCTGGCAGGAGTGCTCTGTGGAAGAACTGCTTGCACACTGGGGGTGCTGACAAATGAACCCCTTTTAGTTTTCTTAATCCCCCCACTCTCCCCCCCCTCCTTCAGGGACACAGGTGGTTCACCTCTAAGTGCAATGTGCAGGTAAGAGCATCCAGGCTCCTTTTGATACTGGGTTTTATTTGGTATTTAGCTGCCTGCGTGTACTTTACTTGTGGGAATTTTTTTTATTCTGCAAAACAAATCCCTCAGGCTTGACAGAAAGCCTGAGAAACAAATATCTTGGCCAGCCTCTGTCATTTTGACCCCTTTTTAGCCTGTGAATCATCTGTCCCTTGGCTCTTCCCTGCGTCTGCCTCTCCAGGCTCTGGCTCTGGTTTGGGCTAGCTTGGTTTGTCCTACTGAAGTTTTAGGTTCTCAGTTAGGAAGTTTAAGGTTCTCAGTAGGATTCTGGCAGCAGTTTGACCAGATTGCTGGGTGGAGGGAAGCTGGGGGTGTCAGCTTACCAGCTACACTCCAGCAAACAGCAAATCTCCCAGAAGCTTTCTGCAGGAGTTAGCTCACAAAGATAGGTTCATTAGGCACATGAAGACGTGGCCCTTGAGGTATCTGTGCCAGCAGAGATTTGAGTGCATGGACTGCTCATGGAACAAGTGGACTTGTATGGCTGCAGCTGGTTTGGCTCCTGAGGGACTTTTACTAACATTTGCTGGCACATCTTATCTGTCCCAGGTGGAGATTTCTAGCACAGTCTCCTACTTGAGCCATCAAAGTAGTCTTTGGTGGGAGTTCTTAGCTTAATGCAATGTACTCCTAATCTCTGCCAGTGGGAAGTGTCATTGAAATTAAAACTGGTAATTTGTAGAATACCATTAAATTCCTAAATTAAAAAGTATTTGCTGATCAGCCATAAAAATTCCTCACTATGGAGTATCAGTGCAGAAGATTGTTTGGATTATAACCACAAGTTCATTACTTGCCTATGTAAGGAATGCACTGAAGGAATATTGGCCTACTCACGTACATAAATTCCACCTGCCTCTTCCACTTTACTGCACAGACACATTAACATTTTACATCTAAATACTCCAACCATTTTCAAATTTCTGCAGTATAATTTATTCATCTTATAACACAAAGGTCTGATAGTTGATGTTCAATGAAGTGAGTTAGTCCAGATGTGAGACAGCATCTAATTGAGTGGTTCTGTTCTCTTGTGGAAATTAAGATTTTGTGCTTTAAATTGCTCAAATTTTATTCAAGACTGGTATGACTGTGGTTTCAAATAATCATAGTAATAAATTTCTCGTGATGTTTTTAGTAAAAACACTTTTTTTTTAATGGTGTGTTCAAGCATGCAGTAAGGAGTTAAATTTGTATGCAAGACAGATTTCTGACTGGGCATGCTTGAGAAAAGATTTGGCATGCATTTCAGTTCCAGTTAACACTTGGAATATTCGGGGAGTAAAATCAATGCAATAAATGAATAGAAGATCTGTTTGTGCACCCCATGATGTAAACTGGGAACACTGGCACTTGTATCTATGTAGCTGTTGCACATAAGGAGCCGATTTATTATTTTGCAATGAAAACATGTCAATAGAGACCTGACCTGATGGAAATAATGACTGACTACATTCCTAGAATTATCCTAAGCAGAACTGTTGGCCTTCAGAAGACCTGCAGCTTATAGCACTGCCAGGAGGACTTTAATTTGTCTGGAGCACATCTGTTGGCACCATTTCCATGTAGGTAAACTCCTTGTTCCTTTACTGAAGCAGCAGCAATCTTCTGTAAGCAACTTATTGATCAGTGTAATCTGATGCTCTGCCTAACTGGTTAAAGTTAATAGGTTTAGTATTTTTTAAAGACTCACTTCTGAGTGGATAGTCAGGAATTAGTTAAGAGTCATTTATGTAGTCCCTTTTTCATGGATTTATGAAAACATGTTACTTCATCACTGTGGCAAATGTCAGATTTAAAAATACCTTAGACATTTATTTGCCATAAATATGTAGCTGATTGTTTTCATCAACAGTAGAGAGCTGTAATTTAAGTAGATTTGGGAAATATTAGAAAGGTATACAAAAGGGATTTTTCTGTATTTGGACTGCAATTTTTTACTTACTATCTTTTGCTGTTTTATTTTTCTTGCTTATCAGGCTAAGTTATTGTAACAAGTACGGTTAATATTAATGAAAACCTCCTTGAGCTGTTCATACTGGGCTGTTACCACTTGGTTTGGATCTGTGGTATTTTCCTTGGCAACTACTCTTGGGACAGTTGCTGCTGTTTTTTCTCCCTGATCAGTGTTGTATCTCCTTCTCTCTTGGTGTGTACTGGTTAGGACTGAATGGGAGTGTGACATTTGTAACTGAGATTGTGGCACTTCACTTAATTCTGCCCTGGCTTTGTGTCTTCTGCTGTTGTCTTGAAATTCAGAGGCAGGAATATGGAGCACCCAACAAAAACATTCTGTTGGGAGATGCTGAGAGTGCCCTGAGATGTAGGGGATATTCTCTACTAAGACCCTCAAAGTGTTAATGTGTAAGTGACTCCTCCAGCACTGGGCATTCTATAGAATTCTATAGAAGTTTGGGAGCGCTGAACTGTTGAGCTGTAAAAAACCCAAACCACACACCCCTGAAAAATTGAGGAAGAAACTTGATAGTTTGCCAGGTCAAAGGAGGAACTGTTGTTTATACTGGCAGATTATGTTCCATAAAAGGGGGGGTTCCAATTATTGCATTGGTAGTAAAAAAAAAAAATCACCTTCCTTATTCTTAAGCAAACTCACTGAGTTAATACAACATAGTTAAAACTGTTGAGCTAGTAATTAATGTATCCTGCTCTTGAAACTCTTATGATTGCAGGCACATAAGAACAGCAGAGTTAAAATGATGCTTTAGCCTTATTTGTGCAAGCCTGCCTTCTTGGCATACTTAGACTGTAGCAAGAGTAATTTTTTTTTTTTTGTGGTTTTAGTTTGAGTGGCTTTCCCTATGTCTGAACTCATTGTATGTTTCCCTGTTATTTTAGAACTTTTCCATAAAACTCACATGCATGCACATAACACCTTTTTCATATAATGCTTATTTTAGTTAAAAATATTAAAAGGAAAATATAAATAAAATACCTTTCTTATATCCTTGGATTGCATTTCATAATCTTGTTGGGTCAGGCTTCCCATGGAAACATCTGTATCATCCTCATAGAGTGATTCTTGCTGTAGAGGTGGTGCTGCATTTACCAAAGGTACAAACACAAACAAAAACAAAGTAGCCTGCAAAGTCTCCATTCTTGCCCAGAACGATGTATGAGGCTTTCAGGGAGCTGGTGAAGATCTGCTCGTGCCTGGACTCTGGAGAACACTTTCTTTGGGACTGGAAATGAAAATGCAATCCGTCAAAACAATATTTAAAGCCTAGAGTACTTGTTGGCAGTGGTTTCTAACACATAAGGAACATGGAACAACTTTTAACTCTTGGTATCCTTTAATTAACTCTAACTTTATAAAACCTGTTCTTAACATGAGAAGAAACTGGGAAATAATAAACATTTTATAATAAATAAGGAAAATATTCTCTTAATTGCATTTGTTTGTTTCCCAGTTTATTTTTGTTAAAAGCAAGACGATTTGTAAATATTAAGTATTTGGCATATATATAAATTAACTAATTAAAATATGTGAGGTTCAAATGCATTTTTCTTTATTGCCAAAATAAGGGTCTTCAAACTCAAATGCTCTATAACAAAAGCCTCTCATTGTCTTTTACTTTACATGTGAGACTAATCAAGAGAAGATAACTTAATACCCTCAGAATATTATACAGGTTGGGCACTTTTCAAGCAGGAAAGGGGAAGAGACTCAAACATGATCTTTGAAACATTACAAATATGCATGCAATAATTTTAAAAATAAATCTTTGCACAGCATTTCTCTCCTCTTTACTGTAGTTTTATTTAAGCTCTGAGTTAATCTACTTTTAGGAAAAAAGCCCACCTACCTTTTTAGCAGATTCCAAGCTCTTCACTGAAAGACCAGATATCCTTATCTATAGTTACTCTTTTGTCAGTGTACTTTAGGTTCAAGTTATGCATTACATCCAAATTGTTGAACTGAATTCTCTCTCAAAGTTTGAGTCTGAAAAGTGCTTTCCATGGGGTAAAAACGCTTTGCCAGCATTCTCTCCCAGGGTGAGAGGTAATATCCTGGAGCAGGGGGTTGTACTTTGCATAACATTTGCAAATGCTAAGCCCGTGTAGCTCATCCTACTTTTGGTAATCCTTGTTAAAATGGCAGCTTTCTGCTTTGCTCTTTATATGTGCTAAGGCTTTTTGTGTAAATGAAATATTAATTGTGCAAACTGGAGATCTCTAATAAGGCATGTGTTATCCATTTTGTGAAATGCTTCAGCCTAGAGACAAAGCAGCTGCTTTCTGAGACAGAGGTAGAGCCAAAACACACGTCTGTTGTATTAGTCACATTTTGTGAAGAATAAAATGTTTTATTTTAAGTTGTATATGTTTAGAGAAGTTTTACCTATCTATGAAATGGAAACTTTTCAGTCTCAAGAGTTCTGGAAAAATGTTCTTTAGAATTTCATGTGTTTGTGTTAAGATTTTCAGACAATCAGTGTCTAAATCCTTCATTAATTATTAGATAGTTTATTGAAAAATGAATTTCACAAAAAATACTTGGTTTGAATAAAGTTCTGCTTCAGTTTTACAGATAACTCAGTGAACACTGCCCAGGTGTAGAATTTCCATCTGAGCTATGAGCAGCAGTTTTCTGGATTTGTAATGCATTTCTTCCTCCCCCATCCTTTTCCTCACTATGAATTTTTGGCAGTCAGCACAAATGGGAGACAGATGACCAACTTTGAACGTTTATAGAGTAGCTTTCTCAAGTCTTTAAAAAGTATGTAGCAATAAAATCTAGTGGGAATATATCCAAATTTACATTTCTCTTTTACTGTCATACCTTTTTCTTTTTTTTTTCCCCCTAGAGTAATCCTGGTGATAAACTGTGGACCTTTCGGTTAAGTTTTCTTTTAAATGCTGCCTTGTTTAGCAGCCAAATGTCTGTAGGAAATCTGCAGAGTGACTAGAGCCAGTTGCTGTCTAAAATCTTTTTGGGTTTACAATACCACCAGTTTCTGAACTCATTTGGATTTTATTAAAATGTTTGTAGCTAGTTCATATGCAAATTTAACAATGGGATAGTTTGGACTTGAAGCTTGCTCTGGGATAATGCTGTGATGATAAAATGAGATGTGAAGGGAAGAGGCTCTGAGGCTCTGTAATAATGGAAACTGGGCCCTGAATCTCATTGGTTGTTCCTCTGCTGGAGCAATGGCGCCAGGAGTTTGGAAGGGGTGAAATTGCAGTGTCAGTACCAGGTTTGCATCCCTCCTGCCTGTCTGGGAAGTAATGACACAGCTCTGCTTTGTACTCACCCCTTCCAGCTGCCACCCATCTGCCAAACATCCACGTTAGGATTTCCTCTCTCTCTGGGACATCCAAATGTTTCCAGTGCTTAAATGTAATCAAAGGATAGCTATTCTAATGGAAAAAAACTACTAAGTGTTGAAGCTGAAAGCAAGATATAAAATATTAAATATATTTGTTATAGTTTTATGATAATTTATTTTCTGAGTACTGAAATCCTAGATTTCACAGCTACATAGAATGTTTTAGGAATAGCTTTATCTTTTCCTCACATATGACAACTTTTAAAAATGAGAGAAAACTACTAGATAAATGAGGCCTTGAAAATGTAGGAAGTCTTCATTCAAGGAAAGATTTGTTTGTTTTGATCTCCAAGAGGAGAAGAGGCTCTGAATTTTTAGACAACTTCAGGAACAGCTTCTGCACGAAATGTGAAAAATCTGTGTTCATCAAGATCACAAGATTTTGATTGTGTACTTATCACAAAAAGGTTGTCATGTGTGTACTCTCTGCCATAGAGGCACCTCTCAGAAGCTCATCAATACTTGCTTACAAATATAGTCAAGGAGGGAGATGTTAAGTAGTTAATTTGGTGTGATGTCATCAAGGAGTAGCTCACAGTGCCAAATAAAGCTGTAACTTCGCCCCATAGTTTGTCAACATTGTCATGAAAGAAGAAAATACATCAGCAAATAATGTCAGATAAAACCAGTTTTTATCTGAACATGTAGCAGATGCTCAGAGCAGCACAAGGATGGGGGTGGCATGGGTGGCTGCAAACCTTCAACTGCTTTTTTCCTGCTCAGAGTGGATAGAAATAACAAAAATATCCAAATCATGTGAGATGAAATATGTGGTTCATATGTGTTGGCAGTAGGGGAGCTCACAGGAAGCAGTCTGGCAAGCAGGGAGTGCTTTCTAGGCACTGTTATAGTGCTTGGAAATTGGATGTATAAGTGTCTCTTGCTTGGACTCTGCTTACAAGGATCCATGTACTTGGAAGGAGGGTTTTTTTTCTGGAAACCTAAGCCTGCTGTGCTGTTAACTCATTGAGCTCCAGTTTTTGATAAATGTGTCCATTATGTGTTTCTTGATTTCCCTATGATGTCTCATTTGCACTGACTGATTTCCCCACAAAATACTTTCAGCTGTACTGGCTGTTAGTAATTCTAAAAGGTTATTTTTCCTAATTTTGTTGACATGAAATCATGACTTAAATTTGAACAGTAGTAATTTTCCTGTCATTTTGTAAGGATATAAAGTGTAGCTGAAGGTGTAAATGAACCACAAAACTTCTTGCAGTCAACAGAACCCAAGCCAGATTAATGGGATTGGATTCTGGTCTCTGGATCCTGCTGTCAGGAAAACTTAGCTTTAGGTGGAAAGGGTTGCATACAGAATAGGTATAACATTTGTTCCCCAAGGTTTTCTTCTGTCATGTTGGACAACAAAGAATAGGGGGAGAAAAAGTGAGAAGCTGGGTGGGTATGGATGGCAGAGGTAGCAAAAGCGTAGGAGAGCACTACAGAAATGAGGGTAACTATCCAGACTATCCATGTTGCTGACTAAATCTTCAGCACCTGGGAAAAAATCTAGAATTCAGTTTATATGTCAGTACAGAGGGGGTAGACTTTGCTCTGTGCAAGACAGGTTGGAAATGACTTCTCCAAGGTGCCTGGAGGAATTACATGGGAGCAGGGGCTGGCACTGCCTATGTGGTTGTGCAGTGGGAGGCAAAACACTGGAAAGAGAAAAATGGGGAGGAAAAACCACAGGGCCTTACCTGTGGGGTGCTGAGGCAGCACTAGGGAGAGTCCCATAAAGCTGCTATCAAGATACTCCTTATGAAATAAACCAAAGCTGATATTCTTTTTAATAACTTGGGTTTTCTCTATGCTTAGGCAGAGGAAGTGCATTTTGCAGCTGCTTAAAGACCTTGGCTTTCATTTTGTATCCCAGTCTCTAAAGGATGATATTGGTGACTTCTGCCATTTCTGAGTTTTACTGTTTATAAGTGTTCTTGAAAAAAAAAATACTACGGATTATTACTCAGCTGACCTGTGCTTGTGGCGGGTGCTGGGAATCCCTTTGAGAATGCTCAAAGTCAGCGTCTTCTCTTGGCCAGACATCTGTGTAGGACAGAATGAGATGAGGACAAATTAGGAAAGGTTTTTAAGATTTTTGGGTATTTATAGACCTGGGCATAATGCTGGATTTTCTTCTGTGTGTGATAGTTCTGCTTCATGTGGAAGGTAACATGTTGGAGGTTCCTTGGCATAACTTGTGTGGAGTGTGATTTAGACACCTCACAATGTTGACCAGCTGTTCTGGATTGGAGTAATTATAATAGAAAAGGTTTTATGGAGGAAAAGGCAGTTATTGCAGCAGCCTGATAACATATACATAATCTGCAAACAGTGAGAGATTGGCTCTTAAAGAGGGCAAAAGCATTAAGTGTTAGAACTTAACTTGATGGCTCTATTTTTATTTTCTCCTTTTGTAACCTAAAAGAAATAACTTTTTGGAATGGTTTTCTACACAAGTTTAATTTCTAAAACACAAGCCTTTTCTTTTGATATTTATGTGGGATTAATTCTAGTTTCTAAAACTACTTTTATCTCTTTGCTGCTGCATAAATGTATGATATGAAACTTCTCAGACTCCTGCATTCCCTTCTGCTTTTTGTTAAGGTCCTGATAGAGGGTGTAAAAATAGTTTTTAGGCTAGTTTAATGCCAATGATGATGATGGAGTTGTATTTATTCTGGGAACTAAAAGCATCCCAAGGGAGGAGGGAGCAATCTTCTGGTTTCTTTGCTGCTTTGAGAACTGAAGGTGGTGCTATAGAAGGGTTGTGTAAAGCAAAGTCAATTCCAGCTCAGCACCCTTGAGGGATGGAGGAGGGTTCAGAGGTAGTGTTAAATCTAAAATAAGTGTCTTCATGTCCTAGAGAGAAAATGTAGAACATTCTTCAAGATTCAGAATCACTAAAGAAGTACCTGAAATGAAATAGTTATGCATAAACACCTCCAGATTTTTATGAAAAGTTGCAACTATTTCCAAAACTCAGTGAATTAAATCAGTTTAGGTCACTGTTAGGGCCACCAGCTGCAAAATGAAGACAGCTGAAAAATGACCTAGTGATTGTATGAACATCCTTCCATATGTTTCTGATTTATAATCAGAATTTTTTAAGGCTGAAGACATTACCTTTATTTCTTGCATTTCTGGAAAAGAAAACTTTTATCAGTTACTGTGTTATAAATGAATAAAGCACATTGCGAAAATCATGTATAATATTAAACAGAAATCAAACTATGGTTAACAAATGATAATCAGAGTAACAGTGCTGTCTCTCTGTTGAACACATGTTCTCCTGAGCTTTGCTGTGTGACATCAGTTACATCCTGAAACAAAAGCCAACCTACTGCAATTTATTACAATTTCTTAGAATTCCTTCCAGAATTGGCATTACTTCCTTATGACAATACCATCATTTGTTGAGCTGTTACTGTGTCCACAGGGACATTTGAGTCAGGGCTCCAAGAATCATTGGCCTTATCCATATTTTACTTCAGTGTTCCAGGCATCTGTTCCTTGTGTTGTTCATAGCATCTGCTTTACTGTGTTCATGGCTCATCTTCACATTTATCTGCTTTCCTTGTGTTGTACTTGTAGAATAGGGGAATTGATTATTTTTTTCCTC